AGAATGTGTCAAACTGTTCAGATCCTTGTAGACCAAGAACCTAACTCTTCACAAGTAGCCTTTTTGAACCACTAAACTTGCTATATAATTTGTATATAACTTGTTAAATAATTCCTATGTGGCTCTAATATTTGGGATTTTAACATCATATTCATTCATTTTTGACCACAAAGAAAAAAAAATGAACAAAATAAATAAAGTGCAGTGGGGAAAATGTGAATGAAGTGGTTGAATAGAAAGGGAATGGTCTACAGCTCCTTTTGTGTTGACATGGCAGATGACATGAAATGGTCCAGCATGGCTGTTAGGCCAGTTTGTGCAGTTACTGTCCTGGAAACCTGATCATTTTAGGTTCATTGTCCATTCTTATTTTCATTCTGTTCTGCCCTCCACTATGAAATTTCTGGAACTTTATCGGTTTTATGATCTGCTGTGTTCAACAGTTAGATCCTAACTTATGTGAAGCTTTGGCTGCAGAGTGAGTCGTTTATCAGAACTCTTTGTGAGTCCAGTGGTGACTCTCTGTGTTTCCATTCACTTTCAAATTATGCATAGCCTTTAAACTCAGTGTTTTTAAAAACACTGACAATATTGATTAAGACAACTTTGTTAAGTTTTCTTAAATGTCAAGTCAACTCACATTTAAGACACGTGGGAACTTTAAACTATGATTGCACAACAGCCTATAATCCAGAAGTGATGACATCAAGGCCATTAAAACTAAATACTCCTAAATCTCCATCAGTGGCTTTAAAAATAAAATGCAAACATTTAGTCAGGAATTTCAACTTAAATTATAATTCCATTCCCTCTCCAGTTGCAATCCTCATGTTCTCTGCAGCAGCTTTACTGTAATTCTCTCCTCACTGCAAAATAATAACCATGCCTCTTGAACAAATTAAGTGATATTCAACCAAGTGACACAGCCTTAGAATTACACAGAATATTCATGACTAAATGGATATCTGAAGCATGATGCTCCTGATTAAAACCCATTTATGAAGTACGTATGCAGCCTTTTCAGAATCTGACATTAGGTGTCCGCGTCTGTCTCATTTATTTGCATAATGAATGAGGAAGGAACATTCTCTGTGCTTTAGTGGATGTAACGTCTCAGCTGTAATTACAGGCATGCTTACGCACTGATAGATACTATATAAATTTAATCAGACTAATAAATGACTAACATTGCATTAGATAAGACCAGCTCTGCCTGGAAAAAAAACCCAAAAACACCTATGACGCATCAGGCAGTGAAAGTGATCTTACTTTGGACATCATTACCTTCTATTGCATTTACAGCACGTCTGAGAAGATTCTACCTCCAACCTCACATTCAAACCGGCGCCTGCTTTTTAAAGCAGCAAGTAATATGTCAGCTCTTTCCTCGCCTGTGCGGTACAAATAGTGGTGAGTGTCTGAGAGAAAGTGATAGCAGCGGAGACATGAAGGCACACAGAGGGACAAAGCTTTTAACAAGGCTCCTCGATACAAGCATGGTGTCTGTAACCGATGGTAGCCAATCAAAGCGGCCGAGAATGGCAGGCTTCCTTGTTTGTCGAGCTGTAAGGAGATTACTTACCACCGGCCACATCTTATCCTCCAAATCCCACTCCAACACTAGGCAGCCTCCAGCAAATACAGATCTCTTGCTCCTTGTCGCCACCCAATCCTGGCACTGCTCCTTATCCTGAGTGTCAGGATATAATCGAGACAACAGAGAACACAATGCAGGGTGTAGACAGTGACAAATATAACAAAGAGAGAGAGCTTCAGAAAGCCTGAAGGGGACTTTTTCTTAAAGAATCGCAGTCAAATTTAAGTAAAAAAACAAGAAAAATCTGTACTAAATAAAGAGAAGGTGTGTCTGAAATTTTTTTTTCCCATTTCAAAGATGTCATGAGCTCAGTATTTAAATGACCATATATTGAAAAGGCTTCTGCATAGACCACAGAAGGAGCCCCAAGTGGATGATCCTATTTGTGCAATCAAAAAATCCATCAAATAAATATCACCGTATCAGTCTAAGAAATCTTCAAATGATCCAAGGTCCGACACCAAAACCTACAAACTGAACTAAAATGAGAATCCTACTGAGGGACGACAGGACAACTTTCAAAAGATCTACATGCTGCCGGTTATCCAGCAGGTTTACATTTGAAGCTTCAGTCACCTTGACATCGAAGAAACTTTTCCCAACTACTTCAAAATTTAGGTGCTAACTTCCGTAGCTCCGGCTCCGATCGGGTGAAGAGGAGGCTAAGAGATTACACTCAGGCTGGCAGCTGACCAACTTCAACATTTGAAGCTGTCTTTTGATCATGGCTACATATGTTTTCTTTTTCACAACATTAATTAGTGCAGCCAACCCACGAGACTCATCGCTGCCATCAGAAGCCTCTTTAGTCAAAACTCCCCCATTAGCAAGCCCACATGTTTCACGCGCACGCAAACACACACTCAAACAGATTTGGTAAGTAAATGAGAGTAGCTTTATAGCAGCCCTCTGTGAGCAGTAAACAGACGTTTACATCACTATAAAACTTGGCAGGGTGTTGGGACATGCAAGAGATCCAACAGCATGTTGCAAGAAGGCCTAACCGGCCTCACCTCACACATGCATTCATTAAAAATATATATTGTGCCAAGTACTTATAGCTTTTCATCTCAAATTTCATCTCGCTGTGTGTGTGTGACTGCAAAATCCAACCCGAATAGAAGAAAAACAGAAGATAAAACAATCCATTTTCCCATCCATCACGTCAGTAAGTACACCACAGAGGTTGGTATTTTGTCTAATCCAGTTTATTCTTTTCTGAGTAAAAGAAAAAAAAAATGTTGGAAAGGGGAAGCAAAAAAATTAAAGCAAAACAAAACAAAAAATATAGAATTTTCCACATTCACCTTCCCCCTTAATAACCACATTACAACCCAAAAATGCAGCACTACACTGAAGTGTAAGTAAATCTGAAACGCAAAAGAGGTTAAATAAGGTATTCTTTAAGATACACAATATTCATTCATTATGCATTTTCCGTTCATTCCTTCCACAGTCCACCAGGAAAACGTTTGGAAGGTAATTATTTGCTGATTTTTCCACTTTCAGCACTTTGCTCACACCAGCGCTATTCCCTCATCCATAGTATCGCAAGAAGGGAGGAGGAGGAAGGGAGATGGAGAGGGTGAAATAAGGAAAAATAGAGCGATCAATACCGGGGAAAGATGAGAAAAACAAAATGAAAGGAAGGAGAATGCGATCTTATCATGCTGACTGGAAATCATAACATGTAGTAAAGGATATTAAAGTATCGGAGTGAAAATCATAAAAACATGAAGTCTCGCTTCAAAGCTGGCACCAAAAAATTACCTTTTAAAATGTGGATAACCGAAACAAAGGCCTGGGACAAATATCGGAGACCTGAACAGCCATCGCAATCCCGAACAGGAACCTCTGAGTTTGCTATTGCAGCTTCAGTCCAAACTCAAAGTGTACAGCAATGTTTGATTTTACCTGTTTGTGCTCACCGTCGAACAACAGCTGAGCACACAAAAGAACATAGAAGAGTCAAACTGTGTGTATTTGCAAAACTAGAGTGACAACGCAGACATTCCAGGTCCAGTCAGAGATCATAAGCACACTTTGTCTCTCATGTCCTGCAAATTTTGTCTTTCTGAAGTGTGTACACATCCAGCACACACACACGAGCCGAAAAAGACTACGGATTCGAAGAGGAAATGTCTCTCAATGTGGAAGGTTTTGCAGAAAATAAGATGAAGACAGACAAAAAGAAGAAGACCTCAACTAATTAGGTCTTCATCAGTCCCATCCCAACACCGGGTCTGTGTGTGTAATCCAAGGGTGACCAGTTCACTGTTCCCACCACCAATATGTGCGTCTGAGTCCAACAAGTGCTGCGAATTCTGAATTTAAGTATCCCCGAACAGTGGTCGAAAATTAAAACAAAAGGAGTGAACGCTGTCTGGTAGAGCAGAAGAGAAGGGTGCAAGTCGGTGGGAAGGTTGAGCTTCAGTGTCCTGAGGTGGATGATTAACAGGTGTTTGTGTTTCTAAAGGTTTAGGATTATAGGTGGTGGGTGGCCAGGGGGGGTAAGACCCTGACTTTAACTGAGGCTGTCTAGCTTGTTTGCTTCACAAAGTCTAAGCCTGGCGCAGAGTACAAAGCAGCTCTGGTCTGATTTTGAGGTAAAGAGCACAGTCTATAAAAAGCGCCAAAAGCTAAAGTGTACATTAAGGGTAACCGTTTCTTTCTCCTCCTCCTCCTCATCAACATCATTCTTTGCTTCTTTCGAACATTTTTCTTCTCTGAGGTAAAGAGTATATCCTGGCTTCCAAGTCAAACATTTGTATAAAGCATTGTGTTTCTTCTCTTCATCATTTTTAACTCATTCTTACTCCATTCATACCTGTGTAGTCAAGAGCTTGCAAAAAGAAAAAACAAAGTGAGGAAATCGTGTATTTCCTTTGCTCTCTATAGTTCTGTCATTCCTGGGTTTGTCTTTTTTCCAAAATGCATCTTAGCAGCAGGGATATGATGACGCCAACAGAGGCGGGAAACAAGCAGGGTATCTGTAACTGTGGGGGATTTAAAAAGCTTAAGTTAAAAAACAAAACAAAAAAGGAGAGGAGATTTGTATCCAAAAAACCTGCAAAAATCCTGAAAAAACAACGTGAGAAGAAGAAAAAAAATCATATCCCTGTTAGTGCTGTCACACCGTCTGAACGCGGAGATTCGTCTGGGGAGGTGAGGGTTGGGAGGAGGGTGGGAACGGCTGCTCAGGAGCACTCCTCCCCGATGCGCTGGCATGAGCGGCCCACCTTGCGGTCGAGCTTAACCATCTTGAGGACGGCCTCCTGACGCCCGCGACCCAGGTGGTCGAACAGACACTCGTGCTGCTCTGGAAGCCGATGGAGCATACAGAAGACGTAACCTGGAGGGTGGGTGAGGGGGGTTTGTGGGTGTAAAGAGACGGAGGACGGTTAATTTGCTGGATGTGCAAATGTGTGCTGCGACTGGAAACCAAAGCATAAAAAAAGAATCACTAAATCATTAACAAGTGACAAAGGAGTATGTTATATTAACTCTAAACACACCAGACACACTGTGAGTGGCAATACTTTTAGATGTCGGTAAACATCTCTGTAAATACACGTTTGAAATTACCAAGGGCAGATAGTATGTACTGCCTGCAGCCATGCTTTTGTACAAAGCCTTTGTACCAGAGAAGACGTTCTACTTGATAGCTTCCTCTTTTGACTCCATTCAGCAGACAGCCCCTCATCTCTCTCATTGACTCTCTGTCTCTACTGTAGCGCTTTCAACAAAAGGCCCTGCCACTGTTGGAGGCTCGTTAAGCTCAGAGAAGCTCGTTAGCTCTCATCATCTTAAATTCATTCATTAATACACATAATAACACTGCTGGCATTCAATAAGTGGTGATTAAAAGCCCAGTTTGACAGCTGGTTGCTACGCAATTAAAAGCTACGGCACACATGAACGCAGTGGAAGGGAGAAAGTTGCATAATGTTGCCCCATTAGAAACCACAAATATATATATAAATATATATTATTGTAACTTAATGGTCATTTGAGCATGTTTTTAAGTGAATCTGTGTGTGAACTGTAAGTTTTTAGTTTTTAAAGGTTTTATAGCATCACATTATCTTAAATGCTTATTTTAGCTTCAGGTAAAAATTTTAAAAAAGCAGGAACAAAAGCTAAAACAAAAAAAAAAGGCACAGACTTGCCAAAAAACTCACAAACTTCCACATTACACTGGTTATACAAACAACTCTACGCTGCCTTGTCTGTAATATCCTCGTTGCCCCTACAAATCAACCTCATATAAAGATAGCTTTGCTGACCACACACGCCATCCTTGGTTAGAAACCCAGAGGATGAAGACCACCTTCCTGGACAATCCCTGTCCCCTTGGCCCTTCACCGCTCTTCCTGGAAGCTCCTTGTGAATGAGTCTCTTAATAAACCCTCTAACACTGGCAGGAAGGCTGAATGAGCGAGTCAGCAATTATAGTGGTAGGGGACTTTAAATAATGGGCTAATTATTTACACTAAAGGACCAACATGCAGCATGCTAGCAAGGGCAAACAGGCTGTATCCATGGTGATTCTAATGTGGTTTCAGGCTCATTTACTTGCATATTTTCACATTTTAGAATAAGGTCATAAGCCAACAACAATAACCATTTTTGCTGACCGAGCCTGATCACATCCACTGGTTGATGCTTCTGATCTAAGAGCTACATTTATTACACAAACTCAAAATAGGCTACGAGTTGTGGGAAGGGTACAGGAGTGCTTCTCAGTCAGAAAGTCTAGCTTGCAAAGCAAATGAGAATGGAAATGGTAAAGGTCCCACTTTTGTTGAGCCTCCACATCAGGAGATATGACTTAATTAGCTGTTTTACTCCGGTGCTTTCACTCTCTATCATACGAACGCCTAGCAAGATGAATATTAGAGGCACTGTGTAACAGCAGAAGCCTACCGAGCGTGACAACATTGGATCAGAATCTCTGCTGGAGCTATCTTTTCTCCCCCATTTACAATCTGAAAAGCATTCATGCTTTCAACTCATTATCAGACCTTCTTGGCTTACACTGTGGAACATTCTGCAGAACCATTAGCAAAGTAATCTGCAATTACCGCAATAGTCAGAAATCACTATAATTGCCACCATTTCCCCTTTTGGTCTCTGAAAAGCATGTTTTCATAGTAAGCACTGGACTATTAAGGATGGATGGCCCATGCATTAAGCAGCGCCTGGTGGGGAAAAAAAAGGCAAGTCAATTTCCAATTTAGAAATTATGCGTTGGTTTAAGCAGATTGGTCTTTAAGCAGTGAAGAGCTGTGACTTTTTAAGTACTTTAATTTGTATGCAAACAAGTTGATTAGCAAGCCAAGTATTGGTTTAAACTGCATTAGTGTTTGTGGTAATTGGCTTATGTTTTATGTGCAATGTGAAACATTCAGGCTTTTATGTAATGGTCCCCGAAGGCTAGCAAAAGAACTCTGGTCATCGACATTTCCGTCACCACACAAACCCATGCTCAGGTAATAGAGGCATTTCTCTGCGTTGAATGTCAAATTAACAAAATTATGACCAGACTGACCAAAACATATTTATGTATTTATGAGGCCAACAATAATCACTGCAAAAATCATTAAACACCTCATTCACATGCAAGGCACACAAGTGAGGTCTTTAATAATAGCTTGCACTACATAATGAATGTGCTTAATGTATATGCCGCGATGTGTAAGTGGATCTATTCGTGCATGTACTGTATGCATGTCTCTTCTTGGGTCACACAGTGTGTATGCTTGTGAATATAGAGATGTGTCATCATACCACAGCGACAGGAACCCAGCTCTTGCTGTACCAGCTCCAGTTTGGTTTGGCAGCGATGGCAACGTTTGCGGCTCCGCTGTTTGGAGCTACTGCGAGACGAGGATGACGACGATGATGCAGACAAAGATGATAATGATGACGAGGACGAGGACTCCTCACCGTCTGGGACTTCGCTCACTCTTGCTTGCTTCTCAGGTGAAACGTCACTTTCTGACTCTGAGGCTGGAGACACACAGACACGCGCACGAAAAATAAGAGGAAAAGGCTGCTGGCTGCAATCGCCGAGCTTCGCGACTGGAACTTCATCAGTTCTTGTTCAGATTGAACACATTTTGTATTTTTACACAAATGCAAGAAATAATTCAGAAGTTCCTTAATGTACTGCTTATGTGCTGAGCAACTCGAGGCCTGGAGGCACAAAAAGGCAGCATTCAGAAAAGTGTATAGCAACACCCTAATAGCTCACCAGCATTCTGTTTCTGTTGGAGCTAAACTGGTCTATATGATGCAGATACACAGCTCTATCCCATCTGTCTGTACTAATTAACAGTAGGCGATTTAATCAAAATTAGATGAATCAGTTTACTGTTATAGATAGAAAGTTAATTTTAAATTCCTGTTATTATTATTATAGTTGAAAATCCCATCTCTGCCTTTTTTTTTTTTTTTTTAACTCTCCTGTGCACGTAATAATCCATAAAAGTATTCATTCATTACAACAATTTCCCTGAGGTTTACACCAAAGGGATCAATAAAGTTCTATTCTATTCTATTCTATTTCAAGTGTGTCCAGGACTGCAGCTTTGACAAAAATTCCAACACAAAACCTCAGCCCTCTAACAAGACTTAGATTTAGTCCAGCCTGCAACCGGGAGAGAGCAGACGATGGCACACTGGGACAAAAACTCTTCTTTGTGTTAAATAAAAAAAAAAAAAAGAAGAGATTAATAGTTCTCCTGCATTACATTACAGGAGGCCGGCATCTGAGACAGTAGGAACAAGGAGAGAGCTTCCGCTGGTTGGCTGGAATTTCAACTCGGCTTTTTCTCATCAATCCTACAGACTTTTTTTTTTCCTGGCCCGGCTGAAATGCAGATCAGCGCTCAATAAATCTCTGAGAACTAGGCCAAGCTGAGCAGTCAGATCCCCCCCTAGCCTGCTCATCGATCCCTATATGTGTGAGGCTGTGTGTCTGTATATGTGCAATTGCATGTTGTTGTTGTTTTTTTTTTTTAAAAAAAGCTTCCTTTTTGCCTACCTTTTGTTATTCCAATACATCTCTTTGAGAAATTTCGACAGGCTGGATGTAACTGCAAGTTTGGTTTTTCAAAAGAGATCCTGAAGCCAAGGCATTTGTACTACAAAGTGATAGATAACTGAATAGTTTAAATTTAAGAGTACAATAGGTTGCACAAAAAGCCTCGATAAAGCCAAAGCGATTCCAGGCTTTGAGCTAAAATTATAGGCGCCCCATTTACAGAAACTGTAAAAAAAAAAGTGAAATATCAACTTGAAATGACGCTAAGTGTGTTATGGTTTGATACTCGCATGATCCCGCTGCATTAGACAGGGGATCGACATGTTCGCACACCGTTGCTGAGCCTTGCCTACTCTGCAGCCGTCATGTGCGAGTTAGCACATGCGTGACAGCGGCAGGTTGTGTCGGCCTGCACAATAAAAGGGGGAATCTACGCCAGCAGAGAGCCGGTGGTGTGTTTTTAGACCCTGTTCAGCTCATTTTAATCAATACAGCTGATAGTGCTGCAGGCTACACCAGCTCCACACATGCACACGTGTCAACTCTGCCAGAAGCTTGTCACTGTGTTCTGTTTCCTCTTTAATAATTCAAGTCATTTTTTTTTCCCCCATCTATAGATTCACGTGCCCACCTTGCTGTGATGTGACAGGCCTAACCACTGAGCTAGAAGGCGCCTTTCTGTGTGACCTTTCCAATTTCAACTCCCTATTGAATGTCTGCATTATTGTTCTGTGCAGCTACTACATATCTATATATATTCATATTCTTCATTCACTCTGGTTACTGCGTGATTGGCTTTACATTTGCATGCTCCGGCAGACATGCTCTGTTGCCTCCCCAGCATCCTTCCCTCACTGTGCCGTTTCTCCTGGAAGAACAATTAGCCTAGCCATTTTAGATCAATCCACTGCTGTTGACGCTACCGGGTCCTCCAATCTAAGCTCCCTAAGTGGACATGACAAGCACACAATGAAAAAGCACAATAATGGACATTGTAGCAGTCGAGCTGAGGCGTACCTGACTCGAAGGAACGTTTCGTGGGAGTGGATAGCGAACCCAAGACTGTGTCTGTGCTGGATACTCCTGAAAGAGGAAAGAAGTGGAGAAAAGGAGCAGAGATGAGATAAAACGACAGGACAGTGTTGGATTCTTCATTTTTAACATCACTGTAATTTCTCTCAAAAGTCAATAAAATGTAAACAGAATCTAAAAATTGTACAAACAGTCCCAAAATGTATGCCCCCACACAAACACATTCGCTCACATCCACACATTCCTACACACTACCAAAATATAGAGGCCAAACATAGAAGTCATTGAGCTGTGTGTAGAAAAACAAAACAAAAAAATTGATATGCTGCACCACTTTGGGTCATATGTTATGTTACCCTGAAAGGCCTACGGTTTACAGTCATAAGAGCCTGAAGACAACAGCTACTGGAGAATCTACTGGTGGTGGCTCGAATACTCCGGCACCGTTTTCCACATGGTAGCAGGATGAAAAGTCCGTGACTGGGATGTGTGGAATCCTTTATTATACTGTAAGCTTCCCCCCACAGCATCTATGATAGATAACTGTGAAGGAGAGACCGCAGTGTGCATGTGTGCAGTCTGAAGCCAGCCAAGAAACAGCTGACTATGGGGGAGCAAACAAGATTACAGTTGTAACAAATGTGTGTTGTACGATCCAACTGTTCCTGGTCCTGTTTTAAAAGCTTGGGGGGGTAACATTTGAATGTAACTGAGTCAAATTTCAAATATACACTCAGCAATTCATCTGCTTAAGGTGGTAATAATTACCTGGGACAATAAAACATGGAACATCAACATGGTTTATTTATGAGATAATTCCAAGGCAGTTTCAGAAAACCTTAAAAATATAATGCCTTTCTGGTATTATATAAAAATATCTCCTGTTGTGGACCAGGTAAGTGTGGGACGTTATTTTCCACCAGTTCTGCACATCCATTTGGTATCCACTTTATTGTCCTGTCCTGATTTGGCCTCCACAAATAACCTTGTCACTGTGTAGCCATGACGGATGCCCTGGCAATTGTAGGTGTCCTCTTAAAACCTTCACTTCTGAATAGATACCCTTTCCTATCATTTTCTCTATCTGTGCCATGAGGACAAATATAGCCAGGGCAGGGGCACTGCAGCTGCTGCTACTGCTGCTGCCGCTTCAGCTGGCAGAAACTAATAGCAGTCTTCCACGGAAAGATGCCCTCGACTAAAAGCGACAATACTCTGGGTTTGACCACTAAAAGTTAAAGTGTGCGTGTTAAAACATACTTCAAAATTTGCAGCTGCCAAGGCATACATTACTTTAGCGTACAGGATAAGCTTTACGAACCAAGCAGACCATGATATGTAGTCTTTATGCTCTACACTCCCCTCTGCACAGGTCAAAACAAATCCCCTGATTAAGTGCTGTCTCACCGTCCTGAACAGGTACAGAGGTCACTCCCGTCTCTCCAGGCAAAGGGTCTTCTGATGCGTTAGGCGTCGACATCAGGGACTGGCTGATGCTGCTGTTCGTTTCATTACAGAAGATGTCTGCTTGACTGCTGCTGCTGGTGCTTGAAGAGGCCTTTGGGGCACAATCCTCGTTTGGCTGTTTCTTCTGAATGTCTACGAGAAAAGTGACATTGTGAGACACTTTTGAGCGCGTATGCTTCAACTCATTTATAATCTTTTGTGTGCGGAGTGACTGATAACTTGGGCAGCATGTTAAATAAATGTTAAACAGCAACTTAAGTTAAAGCTGCTCACACAAAATGATATGTGCACAGCTTTCTCCTCATGTTTCTAGTACTGATTTGGCCAAAGGATGTGATTGTAGTCTAAGTAAAACCAGACAAAATATTCTGGTGAGCTGAAGAAGACAAATCCTCGTCTCGGCCCAGCACACACAATGAGCCTGACACTGAATAACCACCAATCTTGAGCAACGGGAAGAACAACAAGCACGGCCTAATTTCTTCCTGTTAGTCCTGAATCGACTATCTCAAGCCATTTATTCCAGAGACTGATCAGAGAAGTACGATTTGTATGCATTTGTTGGAGCTTGTGTAAGAGAGACAGAAAAAGTTGTCAAGTCGTGTCGCTACAGAAAAACTCCCACACATTACAGTTACTACTCTAGAAATAAGAGGGAAAATCTCCCAACTTAGGCAAGAGAAGGGATTAAAAATAATTGTCTCATGACAAATACCAACAAACGTCTAAGTCAAATCCCAGCTGGATGCAGGGAAGTTTTATTTTTATTTCTTTTAAATAGTAGAGATACTCCTTGACCCTCCCAAGCTCTCACAGGTCTCTATCAGACCCAAGACAAACAAACACGCAACAGAACAGCAACTTACCTGCAAAACATTTTGAGCAGAGATTCATAGTTTTGCTGGACCTGGGAAAAAAGAGAAGGAATACAAGAGTGTTATTTAAGTAGTATGTGTAAGGGAGGGAAAAGAAATGCAAAGCGGGCCGCAAGAAAATGCAAGTGCCTTTGGCTGGTGGGTATCCACACAGCAAGAGTAACAACGTGTTTCCATGACCGCAAGTCGCAGGCTCAGACTTTATTTTTCACTTGGGATCCTGGCAGTGAAAAATTCAAGATAAGAAGTGTGATCGGGGCTACAGCTTTAAATTATTCACAGAATCCAAAGCTGCCATACGACGGTATGAGGCTGTCGAGGCTTGTGCAGCAAACGAAATCAAGGGCTACGTCAACTGAGGGGTGATTTTAATTCTAACCTTTTTTTTTTTTTCAATCTATTAAATAATAATACAAAAATGAATGGAAAAACTGCACATTTATATACTGCAATACACGTATGTCAATCCAAGTGTGCCTTTTTTTAGTAAATACTTCTCATTCTCAGAAAACAAGCTCACATATGTTGACATTTTAAACTGTTGGCTGCTGAAGAAAAGTGAGTATCTACACCAAGCTAAACACCCAATTACTGTTCTCAGGAGTTGGCTGATCAAACTAGAATTAAATGCATAGAAATATGATGAAATGAAATGAAAAATACTTTATTTATCCCAGAAGGGAAATTCAATCTTGTAAAAGCTCACTTTTTAAAAATAAATCAATATAACATATATCTATTTATTATATATAATAACAACAATAATAATAATAATGAGATATATATGTATATATATATATAACAATTTCCCTGAGGTTCTACCAAAGGAATCAATAAAGTTCTATCTATCTATCTATCTATGACAGCGATAGTCATCAGCTGATCAAGCTCACAGCTGCTTAGTGACACTTATGTAAGTAAATAAACTTGTGTTTTCTTATTTGTCAACTTCATTCGTTTGAATATATATATATCGGTCAGGCTCCTATGGTATAGTTATCTGTATTATATTCATTGAACAGTCACAGGTAAAGGTTAAGTCAACAGTCAGCTGTCACTGCATCACCCAGATTCTGTTCAATGGTTTAAAGTAACAGAATAAGCAATCAAGGTGATTCAAACTACTAAATGGTGATGGAAATGTAAAGGTTCCCAGGCTGTGTGTTTGCAATGTACACAGCTAACATGACAACTGCTCAGCCAGTCTGATAAAGAGTAGCAACAAATGGAGAAAATTAAAAACCTCATTAACTTGCCCTGTTTACCAACTACAAAAGCTTCACTGGTACAGCTGAGTCACTCGTGTATTTCAGTGGCAATGTTCTTACTGTCTCCTTAACGCACTTTTCCCTTTCTGATCACGGATAAAGACCTTTGATAAAAAATAGCTATTGTTGTGGAGTCGATCACTGAAGCCTTGCTGATTTCAGTGGCACAGCTCTTTCACAACAGATGGCTCTGGCTTTCCTCTGAGAAGGCTCCTCTCATTTCCTCCCCAGCCCTCGTCCTTACTGTCTGTGCATTGAGCGTGACGGTCGCTGCTATCAGTCACATTCTATTTATTTTGGGCGCTTCGATGCACACCTTTGTCCTCATTTCTAAATGTAGGGTCAGCTGCAGTCAACCTGTGGGCTGTCTGTCAGTCTGCTGGTGTGTAGTCTTGGGTATAAAAGAGAAAGGAGGAAGGAAGAAGTTTGGATAGAGGAGGCACATCATAATGAGACACAGCCAGGGAGGAAGCCGGTGCTCGGTAAACAACAAGTCATATCCTGTTTATCAGCCTTACAAATCAGAGGTAATCAAACCACAGATTCATTAAGGGAATAAAGGGGATGGGGAAGGGGGAGAGAGAAACTATGCAGGAAAGAAACTTCATGGTTGTTAAGCTGAGTGAAGCCTGAACAGAGTGCGCACAACCTGTCTATTTCATAGTTGGCCCACTGCTGTTACTAATGAGAATATCTGATTGGAACAGACAGGAAGACGGGCTCCATCGCCTTGGTGATTCGGTTTGAGTGACACAAAGGAGCGAGGGACTGGAAGGGGGATAAATGTTTTGAAGGAATTGGGTTCTATTAAATACTACTGCCACGAGCAGCAAAATGAAAAATAACATGAATACAGATAGAAGTCAGCTAATAGAAAGTATTCAAAGACATTTTGCCACCTGCGTATGTGGCTGAATTACTCATAAAATGATGGCATATCCGAGGTTAGCAGTGACAAGAGAAGGACTAAACTGAGTTTTATGTTACAGGGGAAGCAGAAAGAAAAAATACGCCGCACTTCTACATTTGCACTGGAAACACATCCTGTAGTTTGCTTTGCTGACGGGTTCTTCAATAAAAAGTGTACGGTCAGCACAAGCCTGTTCATCCACCAAAGACACAAAAAGGCTACCGAACACCAGTGCAGCCCATTTCTAACTGAAACACAGCAAACATAAATCTCAGCTTTACATGTACCATTACATTGCCTATAGGAATTTGAATAGTTTGGACTAATAGTTCAATAAAGTTGTGGGTTTTTCAAGTGTTTTCTGGCGTAGATAGAAAATGTTCCTGGAAGAATACTGATGTGAACACTAAAATTTAATTAAAGGCAACTTATCCTTCCTATTTAAACAGCTGACCATTCACTAGAACACTGACAAATAAATGGCTCAACAACCTCTCTTCACAAATAAGTTAAATAGGAAGTTTGATCCTGAACTACGATGTTTCAGTACATCTTCATCGTATTTTATAACAACTCACTTTGCTTTGTGCGGAATAAAAAGCCAAGCAAGTGTTCCCACATTGCAATAATAGTGACGCAAAGCATACAGTCATTTTTATTTCTTCATCGTTTTACTTCTGTAATGCAAACCTCTGCTGGTCATGCACTCGATACGTCCATTGATCTAAATGTTTTTAATGTGAATAGCAATACAGAACTAATTAATAAACTAATTGATTAAGCAATTACTCGAGTAATCCAGCAATTTTCCGCAGCCTTGGCAACAGCAGCGCTCATTACTTTCACTATTAGACATCTTTCATGCTAATATGAAATCATTACAACAGGTTTGTGCTGTAGTAATGTGGATTTTTTTTGAAAGCAGTTTCTTATGAATACATGCCACACACTTACAAACCGGCTGGTGCGAGCAATATTATGCTGCACATTACTAAACAGGTCCTATAGTTCATTTTTTTTAATGGATTCACCAAGGACAGAGCCAGCAGTCTGATTATTTTACTCTTTCTCAGTTGAAGAAAACCCGGTGTATAAATAAGCACATAATGCTGCCACAGGTATTATAATCGTCCTTCTGTGTCTGGCGCTGTAAATGAAATTTAATATGAAATCCTTTTTTTGCCCTGAAAATAAATGTCACATTAAAGAAATGCTCCATCACAAATGTAGTCGGGATTCAAACAGCTAACCTCAGTGACAAACACACGCTGTGCCTTTAGCGTGTCAATTTTAGAAAGCAGTGTAGGGACATGACATACATATTATTGCTCAACTTACGACTGTGACTATTCCTACTTATTTGAACTTGCAAACTTTAACAAGGAATTACACAGACACAACCAGAAGACCAAATAACAACACAAACAATAGCATTAAACTAGCAGATAGTAAAAAAAATGAGGCTCATATCTGTTTGACACATGATCAAAAATTCAGCTCCTGCTATTCAGCTACGGATACCTGGGGAAAAAAACGACAAAACATTGTCTGTGATTACTAAAGCCAGCTATCGCAGGTTTATCTGCAAGAAGAAATCGTATTCTCCTCCACCAAATCAGGTAATCTTAACAAGGCATTCAATATCCTTGCTTTATTGTGTTAAACTTTAAAAGCCTGAGTTGGAGCAGCTCTGCCAAATTAGCCTAAATCTACTCTAAAAATCTCACTGAAGCACTCTGCAGGCTCAGAGGCACCTCGCTAATACCTTAATGAGAAAAAAGTGAACAAAAAAGGGTGACTCTTTTCCTTTTCCCCTTGTTGCTTTGCCTCCCCTGTCGAAGATCAGTTTGAGACAATCAGGTCTCCCGCTCTCGGAGGAGCATTACAAATGGAAGTATTTGATTAATTTGACATCTCTTGCTGAATGTCACATGCAATTATGGCTTGTTATGCACAGAGCACCAGTAACAGCCATGCATGGTGCACCTGAATGCACCTCTTCAAACAAGTCTGAGACAGAAAGAGGCAGGTGGAGGACAAACATGAAGAAAGAAACACATGAGTAGTGAGTGCCCTGATGATATGCAATACACTACAGTAACTTGTGTTTCAGGTTTGCAGCATTAAAAAAAAAAAAGTTTTAGGGGATTCCTTCCAAATCCTTTTTGTTCTCTCCCAATGACATAGCATAACAGACCTTCTGTCAAATCACCCAGATTTTTGTTCAACAAGGCCTAAAAACAAGAGAACCCAATTCTACGAGGCCATGCTACTGCATTCAGGGAGAACGTGCTGGTTCAATTTGGCCTTCTTGTCTTCTGAAGGACCCACTGTCATTGGCTGTGCCCACAAGAAGTTTAAAGACACACAAGTAGTGTGTCTGCTAGAGTCAGCCAGTACCAGTTCTCTAATTAGTGCTGCTGTACCTACAGGAGTACTAAATTGGAGAATGTTTTATGGAGGAAATAAATTCTAGTGAGTAGGAAATAAGAATATCAAGATAAGAAGTCCTGTCTTAAAAACAGCCAAGGAAAACTTCACAGCACTCATGTTTCTTATTGTCAATTGGAGGTGCTTATTGTAATCAGGGCATACTTGTATTTTGGTTACCACTGTATATGCTTTAAATAATACATGAAGAGTTCTAGAAAACAGCATAACTACTACATAAAAAAGGCCAGAACTGAATATAAATATATGATCTAAAGTCATTGGAATAAATAGAAATATTTGTCACAAAGAGCTCAGACAGATGAATGTTGCAGTGAGTCCATTTCACAGAAAAAAGAAAAAAAAAAAAATTCAGTGTCCATATCACAGCTGTGACATGTAAAACAGGCCAGAGAATGAAGAACATAAAATTTACAACTTAACAATCAGTGTTACACCAGTCTGATGTGACTATGAAAGACATTTAATGCTGAACAATGTGCAACTCTTGGTGATTACTGTTGGTACAGTCACAAAACCTGTTTTCTGGCTTTGCATGAAGCCACAGGATTGTAGGGTTGCCATGATGTTGGTGCAAAATCCACAGACATTTGAATCCTAGTGATCTCTGAATAAGTGGCTCGTCACTACTTTATGAGAATAACATTTAGATATTGTTTATGCTAATGGAAATACAACCTCTGGTGAAATCTGACACTGCAACTTTTTTTAGTTTTCCATAATTTCCTTGCTTTTCAGACTAGCGAGTGGGTATGCCGTTACCTACAAAACAGTTTCCTGAACGATATACACATGGTGAATCAGGTGCTTTAGTCTACTAAGGCAGATCTTGTGGCTTATATTAATCATAAAGGGAGGAGAACATTGTTTTCACTGGGCCTGCTTGGTTGCCTCATTTTTTCAAGACTATTCCAAAGGCCTGTGAAAAGTTGCAACGTCCAACAAATCAACCATGTTTTGCTGCCAGCATTGACAAACAATATATAGACTCATACTATGGATGTAAAGAGGGGCCGCTGTGCCAGATTTAGTCCGATTAATCAACTAGTTTTAGGTGCTTTTATGTGTTATATTTGTATATATTGTAATACATAAATGCCAGTAAATGATGTAGAGTTCAGGTCAGTAAGTATTTCTTCACAAACCGCAGGTTCCTATGACTTGTTGGGCTGGGCAGAGTTCACATGTGTCAAAACACTCATGACTCAATAAAAAGTACTCATCAGGATTACTGTGCTGATTGAAATCAAATGCAAACATGCTGTGTCTATGTTCACTCGTTCTCATGTCAGTCTGCGCTACTCTAGATCATACAGTCGTCCTCAAATGTATTCGTACCCTTCCATTAAAGAAACGGCAAAATCTACAATAGTCACTCAAATAACTAGAAACTGAAAAAAGTAATAATAAATAAAAATTTACTAAATTATAGTCTTGTGAAATGAGACATTGCTTTTGAATTATGGTTGAAAAGAATAATTTTTTTTTAAAAAACTGCCCCAGACAAATTAGAGCACTTTGCTGATGAGCAGTGAAATCCAAATAGCTGTCAACAGGTGCAGAAGTCTGATTGAGTTACACAAAACACCTGATTGCAGTGATTGGCTCAAAGGGTTGTTCAACTAAATATTAGTTTACATCCTGCTTGTTTGCTTTTTTTTTCCCCCTGTTGAACCACAATTCAAAAGCAATGTCATGATTTTCATTAAATTTTTATTGATTATTACTTTTGTCAATTTCAACTTATTTCAGTGACAGCTGTTTTTTTTTTTCCTTCTTTAATGGGAGGCTATGAACACATCTGAGGACGACTGTACATGTCTCAGCAGTGCCTTGTTTCTTACCCAAGTCAGGTTCATGGTTTAACAGCCGTCCACTGTCATATCTCTCACCCACTGTTTCATGTGTGAACTTAGCACGTTAGATATCCAGTTTATTAGCGCACTCACACCTGTCATATTACCTGAAAGGGCTTATCCCCCCCTCCCTCCTATCTCAAGCCTGCTTTCTCCCTGCACAGGATAAGGTTACCGAGGCCAGCTGGTGTTAGCTCGCAGCTAATGCTACAAAACAATGGGGAGGGGGGTAATAAGAAAAGCAGCTCATCCCTGTTTGAGCTGCTAATGCTAGCGGCTACCGACTCTGCTAGCAGAGGAAAGAAAAGCATTTGAACAGGAAGACATTTGACAGGTTGTTCGTCTTACCCCCAGAACCCACAGGGGCAGCGCGGGGGTATAACGTTAACGTTACTCGGAGGCTTGCTGCCCTCGCTCCCCGTGTCCCCCATGTCGGTCTCCCGTGTCAGGCTCTCCGCGTAGCAGGTGAATCCGTGGATGGAGTGAGGGCCTCGTATTTAGATCCCCTCGGCTCTGACAAGCACACAGTCAACACCCGGGCCGGGCCGTCCTGCGGGGCTCACGGTGAGAAACGAACGACTTGCCGACACGAGCGGCCACTGACTCGGTGAAATTAGGACCGTTTAAGTCGACATTGACACGCCGGAGCCGTCAGAGCGGACGACGGACGGAGGCACCGGGGATCCTGGGCCGATCAGCTGGAGTGAGGAGCGAACCACTGGCGCATTGGGGAGGGGGGGGAGGTGTGTGGAGAGCCGGACGGATAAAAGTTAGACTGGTGTGTTTGTGCTCGACATGAGGTGAGTACGAATACACGTGTTAATTATTATAAACACCACAGATGCTAAAAACGCCACTTACATTCCGTAAATGGCTGATTCTAACGATTTGATTTTTGAGGAGGCATCATGGTATGATCCATACAGCGTTACCTTCCTCGAAAGCTCTGAGCACTCACCGTTTTTGTTTTCTTTTTTTTTTCAATGTTTTTAGCTTGAATATTGTAAATTACAGACTGTAATCCCTGCACTTAACACCTTAATTTGCCTTCATGAAAGTGGACGAACATTATAGTAGATGCCCGATGGCTTAAAAACCATGTTTGTTTGTTTTAGACTTAGACTCAGATGAACTTTAACCTCTTAAGACCTGACGTCCACATGCCTGGACAGCACATTTTGGATTAAATTACCATAGTAGTTATTTATTTATCTATCTATCTATCTATCTATCTATCTATCTATCTATCTATTTATTTATTTATTTATTTAAATATTTGTTATATATTTTTAAAATATTTTTTTATTTTCTTTATTTATTTTTAAAATTTTTTATTCTCTTTGCTATTTGATCAGATTAAAAAAAAAAGAATATTAAACAAGAGCTCGGGTCTTAAGAGGTTAATGATCCACAGGGGAAATTGTTTTTATCACAGTAGCAAGCGCACAAAATAAATAATTATAAAAGAATATACAAAAAATCAAACAGGAAAGAAAGAATACAAAAAAATCCATGTGTACAATTTTACAATTCTTTTTTTTTTTCAAGTATAGAATGACAATCAAAAAATACAAAATGAAGACTACTGTATACATGCAGAAATAAACACTGTAAACATTTTTTGCTTTTAAAAACACACTTATCCCACCTACATATTCGTCATCTTAGAAATGTCCAATCATAGATTTAACCCTTTAGACTGCTGACATAATTACAGCACTGTAAGCAGTAAAGGAACTGAAACAGACCAAAGTTGAAACTAGTCAGCAGATATCAATTACTATTATGGGGAAATACTGATCAAATAACTAAGATATTACTTTAAAATTTAGTAATAATGAAACAATCAAAAATGACTGAAGACAACCAACAAAAAGCTACAATCTTTAATTCATTCTCTGTGGATTCTGTTCAGTTTTTGGCCAATAATTTTGGTGTACGATCAAGAGTTCTTCGATGTACAAATGTTTAATTCTCTGTTTTTTTTTCTCCTGTCGATGTCTCCAAATCATCAGTAATGAAAGCACTTGATTGCTTAAAAGAGTCAAGCCTATGGATGCTTTGATGTTGACATAAATGAACATATATGTAAATGAACACCATCGGCTCATTTGATAAATCTATAAATAACAAACGTCCATTTTCTTTTTTCTTGGAAGACTGCAGTTGCGACTCCTGTCTTTAAATCAGCTGAAAGAAGTAGCCCCGTCAAATATAGATCCATTAGTATCTTCCAATAGCCTCTAAAATTGCAGAAAATGTAGTCTGTGATCAATTAGTCTTTTGTTTAAATCATTGAGACTTTACACCCATGTCAGAGTCAGTATTTGACTGCAGCATTTTAGTTTTAAAGCTCTCTCTACTTCATTTATCTGTCGAAACCTTGGATTAAATCCTACTTAAATGAGAGGGAACAATGTACAAGAGTGGGTTGTAAGTGGTCCTCGTTTGTTATTTGTACATCTATTTGTATTCTGCATCTGTTTTCTAAATACCCACAAACTTTAAAGACTCGCGAAGCTTTGCCGCGTTAAAACCAGCCCCAAGGTTTTTTTTTAAATGCCACCAACAAAGATTGTTTACTATTTATTGTATTTACTGATTCCATTTATAATCTCACAAAAACAGGCTTCGGTGCATTGTGTTCTTGTATGTAGTGTACTTGTTGTTTTGTTTGTCTACCTGCTCAGGGCCAACAGATGCAACAGGTGCTTTTAATTTTTCACTGTCCTTGTAAAAATGAACAATGCAATGAATTGAAAGTGACACTGTGGGACGGACACACATGTAACTGTAGGAAATATGCATGTGTAAGTGATACCATTAACAACGGCTGCATGTTTTTTAGCTGCTTCACTTTCGGGGTTGTGGTTGCGTGCATGCTGGCTCTCTGTCATGCTGTTAAGGATTATTGAACAAAAGCGAGACAACATCTGTGCTCTATCCACTGCGACTATTCAAAATGTAAGCTGTGAAAAAGACCTGTTGTGACATATTGCACATTCAATTACCATCAGTTGGACAGATTTTTTGCTTGTCTGCCACATTTCATAACCAGATACATCTGAAACCCAAAAATCTCTCCGCCCCAGGTGTAATTTGAGATTCATGCAATTAAACATTTCATTGGAGCATCCAGCAGGTTTTTTTCAATGGAAACATTTTAGCAAAGTTTTTCTAAAAGCTGTGTTCAGTTCAGGTGCATGCGTTTGTTTCTCGGCCTGGTATTGCTGATGCTAATGACAGGACTTAGTAGTACACCTGTATAAAATTGAGAATGTCTTCTTAATCATACACCTCTTTTGTCTCTTTTGACAACCTGTTGTTGCTCATTATGCTGATGTTAGCGCATCAGCTGGAGCCCAGCTTTGAATACTTCTTTATAAGGGAGTGAGCAAAGGAAGATTTTTTCTGCACCGTTTACAATCATTCATGCTTTTTGCACTGACCTCACATGCATTTACTGTCACATGCATGCATGTTCATCTCACACCAATCCCAAACACAAAGAGCTACACAGGGAATTGTATATCTCAACTGATGGCTTCCAATCTGATTTCTTTCTTCAACACAGTAGAATCACCATACAGCAGTTTTGCACAGAGGACTAAACACACAATATGTCTTTAACAGCAAATAGTCTTGTTGGTTTTAAACCGTAGATAAAGGCCATGATAAGCATTAACCAAACAAGTCTACAGAAATGAGATAGCCAACAGGTTCAGGCTACTTCAAAGTTAATTCAAAACCAAGTCATAGGTTTTGAGATTCATTTCGAGCAAGCATTTCCCAAACGTAATCTGCAGTTTATTTGAAGGCCTGTTTGTATTTGATGACATCACAGATGATTACAGCCCTAGCTGTCTGGTTTGCAGTCTGGGAATGGGGTTGTTTAATGTTCACAAATATTGATGGTGCTGTCTACGACAACAGAAATAGCATCGCATGAATTCTGTTTTTCACCTCAAAATGACTTTCAGAAGAATGCAACACTTTACTTCAGAGCCAGGGGGTTTGGATTCCCCTCAGCAAGACCTGCCAAGAAGTAGCTTCTGTCTGCAGGGAAGGACAAGTGGGCCCTGGGTGGAATGAAGATAGATAGCTGATAGTTCATTAGCTAGTTAGGCACGGGGAGGGGTATACCACAGAGGATTGCAGAATCTCGTTTTTCAGTTTCGCTAAGAGCTTTTTATGCCAGTGCAGGGCGAAACAATGCTAGCAAAGGCTTAGTTGTTATTTGCTGCTCAGTCTCAATCAAAGCAAACTTTTAGTCTTTTCTCTGTTGACACTGTGCCGCCTTAAGACATATGATATTTCTGATGGGAGATATTGTTTCAAATAAACAGATAACAGTGGCAATTCGGTGTAGAAAACATGGCCATGGCAAGCCCCAGCTTTGGCCCCGCAGTGGAAAAGTGGTTGTTGCTTCCCTCCCTACAGCCTGAGTCCAGCCTCAGGGTTGGTTGTCCTCTAGAGATTTGAAGAACACCACTTCAAAGACAGATCCCCTCTCCTCACATATACCATCTCTCTCCTCCCCTGCAATAAACAGAAGAACTTAAGGAATTAATTAGACGCTGGATCCAACACGGGTTTAGAAATTCTGCTCGCCGAAGAAGACTCCCAGAATAGTGAAATCACATGTTGAGCATTGTCTGCCTTGTTTTGGAGTATCTTTGATATGTATAGAAGCCCATATTCCATTTCAGATCCAGCGTGACAGCGTACGGTGGCAGTCTCTTGACCCCTCTCTTATTCACCGAGGGACATGGTTAAGGATATTTTGCAGGCTCTGCTCTTCACACTGAGGGACAGCACTTCAGCCCTGTAAAAATGCAATGAAGAACGTCCTTGATACAGCAACTGCTCCTTGAAGGCTTGTTCTTTAAAGAAAGTTTCAGCCACAAAGGCAGTTTTCAAATTCGTTTTCACTTCAAAGAAGCAAAAGTTTTGATAATCTGGGAAAAAATAAAATAAAAAAAGGATTTTGCAGTACATTTAATTTATGTTTGTGTAGACCAGCATGGTCCGATCGATACCTCGCATCTTACAGCGCTCATATAACCATTGTAATATCTTCATTTATAGGTACAGTAACAAATCACAGCTTGTACAGTATGTGCTGATTACCCGACTACACTTGCGTTAGCCCATGTGTCAATGAAGAGAGTTGATTCATGGCTGCTAATATGAGAGGCAGGCTCTCTGCGGCATGCTGGAGATGGATTGTATGGGAAATCCATGGGAACACATTTGTCCATAAATGAGAGTCTTCGTTATCTTTTAATGGCATCCCCAGATAGGCAGGCTGGCTGTTGCTGACTGGAGGACAAGCAGCATGTCAGGCTTGTAGATTTGGTCTGAGGGGCTATATCAGAAAGCAGGATTACCTTGTCTAGTCGGTTGTGAAAACAACATTATTGATTTGAATAGGCAGGCGAGCTGGAGTTTGGATACTGCTTCTTCGACAGGATATCTAATCATGATGAAGGCCAGATTTCAGGGATGTTTAATAATTACACAATGACATAACTATCCTGGAGTGGAAGACAGCTAAGGTACACTCCATTAAATTATTATTTCGAGCCGAGCCTCTCATATCATTCCTCGCACTGCATATTTGCAGAGCGCTTGGCCGTGCGGTGTAATGTATTGGACTTGCGTTGTGTGTTGATTGAACTCGGTCAAATGACGCTA